CCTATTGATTCTCATCCTACGACTTAAAAATACCCTATTGTTGTTTTTTCATTTTACCAACTCAGTCCTCTAGTTCTACAAAGTCCAGCTATTGAACTGAGACTTGGAAAGTCCTAAAATCAGGGTGTAGATTGCAGTCCTGGAGAACAAAATCTTGACATCAGTCAGAGCACTAGTGCTGTGTATGCACGGGGCCGGTACAATATTCATTCGACAAGAAAGTGCACTTTGGTGTCCTAAGAGCAGCCATGTTGCAGAATCCTGTACCAGTAAAGCCCAGATCAGAGCAAGCATTTGTTAGCCATTTTAGGAATGACGGACAGGTTAACTGTTGAATCCCCTCCGAACCTTGCAAACAGACATCTGTGTTGCCTGTTCAGCTGTAGGCCACTTTTCTCTCTGTTGGCTTTTTCTTTCCATTCATCTGAAGCCTCTCAATGAAGTGAAATTAACGTGCCATTTACACAGTGTTATCTGTTTCCTGCAGTCTGTTCAATGTCCCATGGAGCGAGGCCATTCAAGTCTGGTTTATTTCCCAGGAGCCTTGTCATGCCTTTCTCCTTTGGTTTAACAACTAGCAGGGATACCATTGACCTCCAAAACCACAACAAAATGAGCAAGAACATGACAAGAGGGGAGACGAGTGAAAGCACTTCTTCAGGGGACTTTAAGCAGGAGTTTTAATATAGATATAAATATAGCTAGATTCAGAACGGGAAACTAATTGAGCATTGTCAGCAGTTTGCTCTGGTGAGCAATGATAGATTCATATGAAAATGCCGAGGTGTGCAATTTTCTTGTCCACGTGGGCAATTTCTGGTCTAATGACTGTGGAAGTGGGCTTTAATAATGTTCAAAATTAAAAGCTCCATGTCCTCAGGAAGCCTGCACAATTTACCTTGAAAAACCTCTATGATTAGAGCTTATTAAAAACTCCAGGTAATCGGTAGGAAATTGACGCTGCACGAATTCTTCAGCCATGCATGCTGTCATGAGCAATCCTCCAGCGGTGACAGTGTCTGGAAGGTTTCTGCTGGATTTTCCGGTAACCCTTACATTCACGCTGCAGTTGAGGAGGGGAGCTGCAGTTAATTTGGGATAGTTTATTAGAGCAGCCCTGAACCATGGATACACATCTGTCACCTACAGTTCACTCATTTAGTATTGCACAACCTGAGTTGTGGGTTTATTACCCTGTTCTGGGTTTATTAGTAAGATATTTTCCCTCTCCCTGATTCTTTCTTCATAATTTAATTTCACAGGGCCAAATGTAGATGTGATGTGCAAGGTGGTGTAACTCCTTTCTTTGAACTGGCTGTCTAAAGACACCCTTTATCAGCACTTTGCATTGGCTGTCTGTGTTCTGCAGTTAAAGTGACCCTGCATCTTATTCCATGGGGGAGAGGCAAAGAGATTTTATTTTCACTTTGCATTCTTGTTAGCCGCACTACCTGCTGAAGCTGAGTGTTCTTCTTTAAATATCTTTACGCTTATGTGGAGGTATAGAACTAGTTTATATGCATTTGTATGCATCTGCGTACAGTACAGAGGTTGCTTTGTTTTAGGGCTTGTCTACACTGCCACTTTACAGCGCTGCAAGTTTCAGCTCATAGCTGCTCCCCTCTCCCAGCGCTGGTGCCGCAACTACACAGCCACATTAAACGTGGCTTTAACGTTTCTAGTGAAGTCACGCCCTTAGCTAAGCCTCTAAAATGCTGCATTTTCAGTATCATGTGATATTGATTCAGTGGCAACATAGATATTATTTTTATCAGCTGTTTCTCACACAATCACGATGTGGACTTCAGTCATAAATGGAAATATCAATCTGGGCCTCCTGCTTCAAAAATGCAGGCCCCTTTCCCTGTGAAACAAAGGAAAATCTCCATTAGTGATAGTAACGTTATACCTAGCATCCTTGGTGAGCCAGGAAAGAGGGACACAGACATGAGCAAAACTGACATGTGCAGAACTTTTTTCTGCACATCTGACCCTTTTTGAAGTCAGTAGCCAAACTTCAATGGGGCAGGATCAGGCCAGTGTACATAATATGGTATTAGGAATGGGGGGGGAAACCCCAGAAATGAACACCATGAGTGCTTACGCACCTCCACTTGAGAAAACAGATCCTTGATGAAGAACTCCCGCCAAGGTGAAATTGCATTACAGCCATTGGAAGGCAATTATTGTGGCCAATCAGACAGCAAAAGACTTATGAAGCAGTTAATTAGTTTTCAGCAGCCCTATAGTATCAAAACAAAGTAAAGAGATGACTCAAAGCAGAGAGAACTGATTTTATCATAGATCAAAAGCATGAGCATATGCTGTTAAGACAGAATATAACAATTCACTATCGTTATTAAGTGCCAAGAGCATGCTCAGCGCTGTAAGACTCAAAGAAAGGAACTTACAATCTTAAAACATCTCGGGATGCCAACTTCTGTAGCTCCATTGATTTCAGTGGAGCTCTGAATATTTACACCCAGTGAGGATCTGCTGCCTAGATTGGGGCATGTACTTACTAACCATCCTCAACATTAGAGTGCCTACTTTGATGTTAATGTCAATCAGGTAGATGATTCAATGAAAAAAACCCTGCAACTGCGTGCTACGAAGCTATTTTAGAACTTGAAATGACTGTATGGCATGGCATTGCATTGTCAGGTAAGCTACCAAACTGAAATCTGTTGGTTGGCCTCCAGCTGCAAGCGCCTACCACCCAAACATCCCATTTTTGTAATAGTCAGAGCGCACAGGATATTAAAGTTCTGTGAAAATAAAACAGCTGTCAGGGTGCCTGTGTGAAGCAGAAGGAGACACTTAGCTGAAGAAGTTGCTAGCCTTCATTTGGCATGTTACTGGAGGTATTAGACGAGTGGGCTATGGGCTGCTGAGATTAAAATAAAAACCCATACGCATAAAGCCAAACCCCCAAGGTGTGCTGTCTTAAGCAAAATGATAATGTAATGTAAACCGATTGATTTCCTTTGTGGAATTTAGACTGCTATGCTACCAGGCTGGGCAAATAAATATCCAGGTATCTAGTGAAGCCAGAAATGACCCTATCTTTTACTATAGGTACAGGAACTGAGGATTGGAATGTCTGCCTCTTTAAAGAGTTGTAGTTCCTGGCCAAGGACTGCCGGTACAAATGAATCTGATAATCTTTCACCACTGCAGGCATGTCCCGTGGAGGGCAGACACAACAGAAACAAACCCTCCCAAGGAGTCAGCAAGGGATTCCTCCAAAGGATAATCAGAAATCCAACCAAGTTAGCCTAAAGTGTGGGGAGAGAATCAGTAACATTAAACTCCCCCAACCTAGGATTAACCCAGTTCTATAACCCTGGTGTGGGTCCTAAGGCAGTTTCCCACTCTCTCTCAAACAGCCAGTTTATAATCCTTCCCCTGAGCACCTGTGCAAGGTGAAAGGAAAAACAGAGCCCAAGTTAACCTCTTGTTTGTAGGGGGACCAGGTAGTGCCCTCACCCCTTGCCACAAGACCTTTCTGGGGCTGCATAACAAGTAAGTACGTGGGTTTGTGCAGGGCTTTCCTGTTTACCATGCTTTCTCTCTAAACACTCATCTGCTGTGCATGCCACATCATAAGCACCACAAGGCTTCAGTCTGTTCTGTTCTAGTCTATATAGGTTCTTGTACCACGCTTAGTCAGCATACTATGTGCGCTTGACCCCCTCCCACACCCTGGGGCGCTTGAGTCGAGGTGGAATTCCATTTCCTTGCTAACTAATGTCTGGTTGAACAGTTGAATCATACTGCAGTTTACTTTAGTAGTCTCCACATCAGGCCATAGTAAAGAACAGCAAAGAATAAAAGATACTGTATATATTTTTTTTCCGTTCAGACAGCCATAACTTAGATCTGGTTTGAAGGGGAAAGCTGAATAAATAGATACGTAACTGGATTTGAATGAGACAGGCGGGACCTCAACACATCTAAAAAACTGGCCAGGCTTATTTACGTGCCCGTATGTACTGGAGGTGTTTAACCTAATCGAAATTTGAAGATGCTGGCCCATTTTACCTGGCTTTGTAAAACTTTCACGTTTGCTTCTTTTTTGTGTTAGACACGGATGGTGCTGCTATATGGCCAGGGGCACAAGGCTTTTAGAGCATCTGGTTTAGTTCCAGAGAGTTGAAAGAAGAGGTTCAGTAGCAGAAAAATGGGTCTGGGTCTGTCCTTGTCTTTTGTTGTTACTCTTTGTAAATGGTGAAATTCAAGAAATTGGGGTGCTGGGTGCCAATTTAATCTGATTGGGTTGACAAACAAGACTGGCTTTGAAATCCCAGAACCAGCAAGCTTCCGTCTGTCTTACAAATCAGGCTCTATTTTAGTGAGTGAAATGGCAAGCAATATGCCGTGAGTCACTGACAGCACTGGAACATTATTCTGACAGCGTTTCTTGCTGCATGAAGAATGAACGACTTTCTTGAAAGGGAGGAATAGTCACTGTTGTTGAGGAGACATTTTAAACAGTAGCAGAACTCTCCCATTCCCTTCTGAGAACAGAATGTTGAGCAAGTTTTATATCAGGTAGAACTAAATGAATCCCTTAAGATACCAGCAACTGGACTTGTTTCCTAGCAGACTGTACAGTAACAATGCAATTGAGATTTGTGGTATGAACTGAACATTGTCCTTTCTCTCACTGATCCCTGTGCTTTGAACAGCATTTCTACTTTAAATGCCACAGCCGTTCAGATAGGTCTTTTAACAAAAATGAAAGTCCTCATCAGATAACCTACATAACAAAATACCCGATAACCCTATCTGGCACTGTTTATGCATATTCAAGATTTTTTAATCCTGGTCATGTTGTTTGGTTGCCCTTTTCTCACCTGTAACTCAGGCCTAGTTTTAGAAGTTTAGGTTGAGAACACCTGCAAGTTGTCTTCGCTACAGTGTGACTCGGGGTGCAATTCCTCTGGTAAACATAATAGATGGTATAGATGCTTACGGTCTTCCTGTCTCCCTCTTAGTATCAAATGGTAGCTGACTTATTTCAAGATGAAAAGGATTCTGTGCCTGCTACTCCTAACATAAAGGGAGCTGCCCCCAAAATCAGCGTCCGTTCTGCCAGACCAGCTGTGAAAGCTGCCAACAAAGAGCACAAGAAAACCGTGGGGCACCAGGTAAAGTCTTCACTGGATTTAAAGCCTACTCTTTTACATAGCAACTTTCCTTCTCTAGTTCTTCCCAAACCCTTTGCAAAGTAATGAAATAAAAAGTAGTATAGTGACCATAGTACATGGGGCAGTTATTTGTAATAGTCAATAGCTCAGCCTTGGATATTACAGCAATAATTTAAAGTTACGATGCACTGTGGTGTCTTTTGGATGTTGGGTCACAAAACTGTTTACCATGTGGGTCAGCCATAAGATACAGAGGAGAAAAAAAGTGGTAGAAAAAAAGTGGTAGAAAAAGAGAAACTGGCTCAACATGCCAGTGATAGGAGGAGCGTTTCAAAGATGGAGCGACACAAATAGACAAGCAACCTCCAGTTGTGCAGAGTAAAGGGAACTGGACAGAGAGAAAGCAAAAAGAGATGAGCAGAATGAGCAGTCAAAGGAATAGATGGGTGTGAGATTAGAGAGGGAAGGTGAAGTCAAGGTCATAAATAGAATCCTGAAGACAGGAGGACATATTGAATTTGATGCAGAGATTACGAAGAAGCCACTGAGAGTGAAAGATGGTGAGGGAGAGTTTAAGATAGGCCTGCTTATTGGAGTGGACTGAATAATCTGACTTTCCCCCTGAAGTTTAGAGAGGAGGGATTTAGGAAGACCATAAAGGAGTTGACTTCAGTAGTCTTGATAGGCCATGATTGAGACATGGAATAAGGAGCACAAAGGCTGGTGCAGGACTCATTGGAACATGTTTTATTGAAAATACTGGTGTTAAACCATGAGTGTACCTGGCGCTCTATTAAAGAGCCAGTGATACTTTTTGCTTCTCTCTGTAGAACTACCAAAGATAGATAGGATCCTTTAACATCTCAGTTGAAGTGATGATGCCTCAAACCACAAAATTGTCCCTTGGTATTATCCTACAACATTGCTTTCATAGATTCTAGGACTGGAAGGGACCTCGAGAGGTCATCGAGTCCAGTCCCCTGCCCGCATGGCA